GATTTTTAATCACATATTTAATTATTTTTATATTTATTTGCAAATATTTATTGATCACTAAAAAATATTTTAAATTATATTTGAAAATTTAACTACATCAAATATTTTGAAAAATACAAATAAAATTTTATCTTAATCAATTTAAAATTTTAAGGCAAAGTTACAAAAGAATGTTATCAAAAATATTATTAAATTTTAGTTGATTATTTAAATTTTATCTATTGATTTTTTATAAATTTGAAGTGATAGCGATGTCATCAGATAAATGACGATTGGTGTAAATAATCTATTAAAGGTATAAAAAGTGTTCAATCTGACATAAATATGCACAAAAAACATTCTTTATTTACATTTTCAAATTCCAATAACGATTTTCTATCTGACGCTAGCAGGGAATTATCAATACTTTTTTTAAATTGAAGGGTCGTATGATACATGTAAGAAAATTTTTATAATGACTAAAAAAGATAGAAAAAAGGTTAATAAATATTTTTTTATATTTGTAATAGTTGGCAATATTATATAGTTAACATACAACTATATATATAATGTAATAAAAATATAAAATGTTTTATTCTATTATAACTATTAGTTTAAACTTTATTGCTATATAAAAAAATATTATAAATATTTTGTTATAAATCAGACGACGTTTCGAACTAATATTCATATTTTTCAAGTTATTAAGTTAAATATTTTTACATTAATGGTTATTTTTAATTAAAATAAACCTTGACAATAAATTTTACCATTTTTAAACTTTAAAATTCGGAAAAAACAAATTTGAGCTATAAAATAACAAAATTTTGTCTTTTTTTGTTCATGTGTTTTCAATATTCTGCATCATATATATTTAATTTTACTATTTTAATCTTCTATGTACATGGAAGTTTAATAGCATATACAAATTACACTAAATATAAATAATTATTAGGCTTTTAAATTATATATTAAAATGAAAAATTTATACTAATAACAATATGTGTCATTGAAAAAAAATCTGATACATTAATTTTTTTTGTAATTACTATGCGCTAGCCTACCATATATGTAGATGAATCTTAAAATACACTAATCATTATTAATTAATTAGAATTTTAAGATTATCTACTATTTTACTTGATTATTTTTTATTTTTTTCTTTTACTTAACTGGTTAGTGAAGCTTAAAAAAATTTTAATATATTAATTAAGAAAGTACGAAACGTCTAAATCCTAAATTATTTTTTAAATAAGTATAATTAGTCTGGAAACAGAGATGCAACGAACATCTAGAAAGTAGAAGATCCGTGGAAATATGTTAATAATGATACTTGAAGGATGAATCAGTATGCTAGATGAAAAACCTTCGAATTAAAAATTTCATTATAATTATTTTCTTTATTTCATATTTGTAAGCTATGTTGATAAGTATTTGCTATCATCTGTGGTGGAAGGAAACAGATTTTATATACTTACAGAATTAAAAGAGCATATTGATGTATGTTTTTAGCATTTTATTCAGTTCGTGAAATTAATTCTTCTTTTTTTTTCTGAAGGATATCTTTTTTTGACAGATTATATATGTAAATTTTTTCCGACATTCGTTTTGAGTTTGTGCGGTTGTGTGCTGAATGTTGGGATTATCTTTATTTACAAAAACTGGTATTTTTAAATCTATTCTTAATCACCACAATCTATTTTTTTTGTTTATAGACCAATTAAAAAAATATATAATAAATACATGAATTAAAGTGCAAATTTAATTTTTTATACTTTGTAAAAGTGTCCCAATTTTTTACTTTCGTCAAAAAAAAGTGTTAATATTTCCGTATTATAAAGAAATAAAAAATTTGGTTTCAAAATATGAATACTTATAAAAGATACCAGTTCAGTTAGTTCTTTTTTTTAATGTGTTAAGTTTTATTTTATTCATAATTTTGTTTTTGTTCAAATTATATACCTTTTTTGAACTTTTGCTTTCTTTTAAGGTTTATCTACAACCAAAAAATATTAAACCTGATTTTCGAGCATGTAAATTATAAATTATATTGTTTTGTGCAAAATAATATCCAATGATCAAGTCAAAAATATGATTGAAGTGCCTGACGAAGTTTTTTTTTTAAAAAAAATAAAATTTTCATATCGTAGTTTTTTTGGGTATTTTATAGAGAAATAAGATTATTTACTTAATCGAGTATTTTTTATATATGCAACTTTAGTCTTCATCTGTATGAAAAGTTCATTAATTTTTTTCTTGTACATATACGAATATGAAACATTTTAAGACGAAAAATATGGTCTATGTTTTTTGTAAATTTCAACTCATAAATTATCATCCATCTTATTTTATTTACAATTTTTTTTATCAAACAACTTAAATAATTAGAATTTTACTAGTAATATTTTCATAAAAAAACCTCATTTATTTGATAATATTTTACTTTAAACATTTTTTTATGCAAAATTATTTCGTTAGACTTTTATTTGTATAAATCAAATAAAATTTACCAATAATGATGGCATATATTAATTATTTGATATTATATTGATTGTAGTATTAGTGAGAAAAAAAGCCAGTTAGAAAGTGTTTTGTTGCTTTGATGGTTAATAAAAAATTCGACAACAACGATTTTAATTTTTGTTTAAATGAATAATAGTTTGGGTAAAACCTACTCTCATATAGATGTAATATAACAAAATGTAAAAAGAGTACAAAAAATTCTTAATGTGCGATAGATACCTGATATACTAAATTCATCTCAGATAATCATTTCATATAATATAACACGAAGGAAAAGAAAAATAATAATAAAATTTATAAAAATCATAAAAAAACATTCTTAATATAACCAGAAAAAGTCACATAAATTTTAATTGCTGCTTTATATAATCTTAACTAGAGACATTGTCGTTGATGATAAAGAGATTAGGAAAACTTGCACGAACACTCTCTTCAACAACATTGTAGTATACAAGTTTTTGAGCAACAAATTTCTTAAAACTTTTTTTATCGCTAAAATATTGTTGAAACATATTACAAAAGATATTTTGATCATCTAAACTTAGTTTCATACACTTTAAAAGTTTTTCCAAATAGGTTAAAAAATGGGTAATACTAGGTGAACCCAACTTAAAAAGCGCTAAAAAAAGTGTTGTTCTATCAGTATTTTCTAAAACATCTGTCTCGTAATTTTCAAGTAAATGGCTGAGATTGATATCGACTTCGGGTATTTCTATTTCTTTGTGTTGTAAATCAGCACCTTTTTCTATGAAAATTGACTTCATTTTTTCATCGATTCTACTTAGATCGGAAAATTTTTGGATTTCGTTTATGATTCCGGTGTTTAAAAGTTCGAAAAATAATTTCTTCTGCTCTATATCATTGTTTGGATCATATCCAACAGATTTTACATACAAACTATGGTTTTTCTTTTCGAATTTATAGTATCTTTCAAATAAAAAAGCCATCAGTGTGTTTAAATGGAAATTTATGTTTAATTCTGTGTTTTCAATCAACTTTGGATATAAAGAATAAAAAGTTTTTAGAAAGTTGTCTTCCTTGGTGAATCTGATAAATAAAGTGTACAAAAATGTTTTTTCCAATTTCGCAAGCCTTAAATGCAAAAGAATTCCTAATATCAGAAACAATTCCTTGTCTTTGTAAAAGTATTTCAAAAGATTTTCTTTGCATTCTATGCCGTTGAAAGAAAAATTTTCGATGATCAAATATGCGATTAAAATATCATTTGATTCATTTTCACTATATGGCACTAATAAATTATAGTTTTCGACAAAACGATGAACATCATCAAGAATTTCTTGTGTTTTGTTAATGAGAATGTCTGGTATTTCCGTGTCCAAATTTGTTTCGTCTGGTCTTTTTGTCATTTGAACGATTTCCTCGCCTGTTGCCAATCTAACGAAAAAAGGCTTCAAAATTAGCAGATCGTTTTTTTCCAGTATTTTGTAGAGCTCGGAATATTTGATAAACCCATAAAACTCAAAAAAATACAAATTTGTAAAAAATGTCAATAAATTGTTCAGATTTTCAATTTTACCAGATGATTCTACTAAAGTTTGAACAAGAGACGACACTAATTCGGGCTTCTCTGTTGCAATATCAATAAATAACGCTAAAATCATCATGTTACCAGGTATATGTAAAAGAAGAATTTCAAAGGTTTTTAGTATTTGTGGAAGCAAGGTGTCGAAATTTTCTGTGCAGATATTCAAAATATATTCGTATTCGCTTGTATTCAATTTTACTATGCATTCTGTTAGATTTTTGATTGTTTCTTCATAGTGAATCGTTTCTTCGGTTTTTTGTAAATTCGATTGGAATGTTTGATCAGGAATGTTGTTTTCTTCCATTTGTAAAGGGTTTCGAAAAAATTGAAATCCATAATCCGCTTATAATGAATTTGTATGATTTTATTTAAATACATCATCACTAAAGCATTCGAATGACTATTAATTCCACATTAAACTATTCTTAATATTTTGAAATTTTTTTTTCGATAGAATTAGATGTAAATTTTATGGAGGGTCTTGATAAGTAGAAAGACAGAATTTTAAATAGAAATAAGAGTATAAAAATTATATATTATAGATTCTTCTTCTGTAAAATTTCTAATCTTTATAAATTAATTTGAAGCATATTTCAGTCAAAAAGAAATAAATATTTGTTTTTGAAGATTATAATATAAAGCTTACATTTTTTGAAAATTTTGAGATTTTCAATGCTTTTAAATTTGCTTTTGCTGTTTTTTTAATGAAATTTTTACCTATTAGTGAATATTTTTAAGCTCATATTCTGTTTAATTAAAAATAAAAAAATAACAGCCTTTTTTTATTCTTTGCATTTTTTTTCACTTCAATTATAAAAGAATTTTTTGATAGTTAACTTTTAAAAATTGTTTTGATTCAAAAATTTAAATTTCTTACAACTATAAAACAATAGGCTGGTATTATTAAGTAAATTAAAAATAATAGTCAAGTTGAAATCATATCATTAATTGAGCGGACGTGGCGCAATGGTAGCGTAACAGACTTCGGATCTGTGGGTTGCGGGTTCAAATCCCGTCGTCCGTGGACAATTTTTGAAGTATTTTATAACTAAAAAATTGAAGATACTATTTTTTTAAAAAACAACAATATATATGTTTTACAAAATTCATCATTCTAAAACTTTTATAAAAAATAAAAATCATTTATTCATTTTTGTAAAATAAAATAACGAAAAATACATATATGTGCAGTTTATAAATCTAGCAGCACCAGCAAAAACGATTTCCCGAACCACCAGAATAATTGTCATCAAATATTTTTTCATGAATATAGCGACCCATCATATCAAAACACGCCTTAACGTTATACCCGGTCAAAGCACTTGTCTCAATAAACAAATTCGCATTTATCGCTCGACTCCATTCCAAACCCTCTTCGGCCGTTACAATCTCATCTTTATCAGCATCAGGCATATTTCTCAGATCAACCTTCATTGCAATCACAAACTTGTGTGCCTGTGGCGTGATGTTTCTTGCAAACGGAAACCACTGCTTCTTACACTGCTCAAAGTTGGCTTGATCCTGCACTGAATAGCACAACAACACCATATCAATTGTATCAAAATTAATGTTGTGCTGTTGGATGTAGCCACCATGTCCGCTTGTGTCCCAAAACATCATATATATAATTTTTTCCCCAATTTGGTATTCAGTCGCAAATGTGTCTATAACTGTTGGCACATATTCTGCGGGAAACGGTTCATCCTTGAAAATAGTTAGTAAACACGTTTTCCCGCATCCTGAAGGCCCTACAACAAGAATTTTTACATCGTTAGTCTCCTTGAAACTGTATTTCTTTTTAACTACCATCCTGATGTTTTATATAACTTTCTATTTCTATTTTTATATCTATTAATATCCTTTTAATGTTGTTTCAAATTTTTAGATTAGTTTTATTTGGTACACATCAACCAGTATTTCAGAAAGCATATAATATGATTTGTACAAACTGGTTTTTATTTACTTTATTAGTATATACATTTGCTATCTCTGAAACGAGTATGGATCAATAAAAAAAATCAATGTGATTGTTTAGAAGTCAAAAAATATTTTTTCAATTATGATTGTATTTATTTTATAAATATTTAGATGCTAAAAATTTATTTCCATCAATCTTTGAAAGTTCAATTTGAACAAGAGCAAAAAAATAATATCTTCTATCAAAAAATTTCACAATAAAAATGCCTTTTTCTAGCTTCAGTTATGTAATCAATCAAAAATTTGATATAATGTTCTTTTTGTATATAAAAACATAGGTTTTCATATTCAAAAAATTCCAAAATTTTTGAAAAAATACATTCAATAATGGCAATATTTGTTTTGAAAATAAAAAAAATCTGGTTCTTCCATGTTTTTAGATACAGCAACTTTAAATATGCAAAATATTCTTTACGTAACTATTCTATTTTTTTGATCACCTCGCAAAATTACACTCATTAATTAATTTAAATTTTTAATAAGAAGTAAATATTATCTTTTTAAGCAATTCTAAAAGATTTGTTTATCATATAAATCGAAAAAAAATATAATTGTCTAGCAATCAAAAAAGTTAGCCAATGAAACAAAGAAGGCTCAGAGGTTTTCATATTTAATTGTATGTATAATTTTAAAAATATTATGGTATTGCTGATCAAAGGCGAGGCACCCGAAATTTAATTTATTTTTTAATTAAATTTTCGTCAATTTTCAATGTTTTTCTTGCCTTACATACACACCTGTCACTATAAATTAGTCACATCCAAATAAAAAAACAATATCCAATAATTTACCATAAATTTTTTTTATTTATGAACATCGAATTAATTAGTTAAAAATCAGCGATTAAAAATTTTCTTTTTTTGAAAACGAAAATGACAATAAAATCATACAAAACTTTTAATAATTAACAAAGAAAAATAAACATTTTAAAAAGGGTGATTATAAAATAATTCCTAGCATTTGAAATTACTGATTCATTCAAACTGTATCCTTTCAAATCAATCATAATATATGTTGGCAGAAAATTTAGAATGTTTGTGTCATTCCATTGCTTTACATTTTAGTTATTTTAAAATTTAATAGAATATAAAATTAGGTCTTTAAATATATTAAATGTTCTAAAAAGTAAAATATTTAATAACAATTAAGTGTGTTATATTATATCTTTTTTCTTAACATACTTTATTTTAACGGATATGAACTTACTAATCAATTCTGATTGTGTTTTTATTTTTAATCTGATAATAAATTTTCTCAAAATCTTTTCATGTCTTAATCGTTCCTTTTCAACTAAAAACACACATTAAATATTAAGTTATTACAACGTAAAACAATCAATTTTATTAGTATTGTTGTCTCAAAAAAAATTATCAATTTCACGCTAATCAAAAAATCAAAATGTTTGTAAAGGCGTGATACAAATGATTCATACCTTTTTTTTGATTAAAAAAATTTACACCATATTCATATTTTATTTGACACAATAACGATCATATAAATTTTATTTATTAAAATAGCATCAGTTAAACTATTTATACTGTAACCAAAATATTTGTGTTGAAATTTATTTCAAAGAAGAAAATTCTTATTCTTAATATTAGATATTTTTTATAGAAGTATCTAGGATAATATTAATGTCTTATATATAGTTAGTTTTCATTCTATTTATTTGGTTAAACAATCTGTTTTATAAATTCTAATTTAAATATTGTTTAGTAACTAAAAAAATGTAAAAAGAGCGAAAATAACTTCTTCATTTTAACGAATATTTAATATATTTTTGATCACTGTTAAACTTAAAATCGCCTGTCATCAATTCCACATACAATTTGTAAATTTAAAAAATTTAGTTTTAATTACCAAAACAAAGATTTTTATTACTTTTCAATATTTTACTATAACAAATAAAAATTAGTGTACATTTTTAATAAATATATTCTTTTGCAAAGTTTCTATATCACATTCTATTTTCCTAAAAATGGTAAATTTCGTTATTTTAATTGATCGTAAATTTTTTATATTTAATATGATTTAAAATTTTTTATGCTATTGTAGAATAGCGATGATTCACTAATGATACTTGTACGTTTCTTAGAAATAGTAAATAAAAAAAATTTTCTCAAGTAAAAAAATCGATTCAAATTTATGTCCGGTAAAATTTCGCTCCCTGTGAGAGTGGTACTATCATGTCGCTTCTGCTTCATTGATATTCTAAAGCTATTCTTATGGCTCAGACTACCACATATATTTCATTCATTCTTGGAGGGATAAATTGAAGGCTTTATATTAGGTGAAGTATTTACAAATATTTACAACTTCTGCAAATATCAAATTTTTTAAAAAAATATATTATCATATATTCATTTAAATTGTTTTTATAAAAAATTTTTGTCTGCAAAAATTTGTTAAATTATTACTTTGCACTAACACATTCTAATGACCTCTTAAATTAAGTATTTATACTTTTCAAAAAAACTTAAAATTTAAAACAATATTTGTAGCGAAAAAGTATAAAAACATTCAAATTTATAAACTTTTTAGATTTAAAATCGAACAAAATGCAAAAATTATCTCAACTCATATACCAAAAAAGATTTTATCCATAGTTTGATAGTTTTAAATTGAAACAAATTTGGTTGAACTTAAACTTTTGATGAACAACATTTCATCACTAACTTTGAAAAAAAATAATTTTTTTAAAAAATTATTTCTTACTATGTTTTAAAAAATATAAAAATGTGTTTATTCATAATATTATTGTCATTATTTCAAAAATATTATTCTCCGTACTTTAGAACATGAAATTTTAAAAGAATAAAAGAACGAGTAAAATAAACGATGAAGGAAAAAATACTTTCTTTTCATGTTTTTTCTTTTATAGACTATTATAAAATAACTCTCAATCAAAGTGTTATAATATTATTTTGCTAAAAAATCAAAAATCTTTACAATACGACAATTGCATGCGACAAAAATATTGATAGAGTGTTTTTTAATTACCTTGATTGAAATATTTAACAAAAAGGAATTTTTTTGCCCATTTTCATACAAAAAAAATTCAATAAATAAATTATAGAACTATCACAGATTCCTTTTAATTTTCAGAAAAATCAAAAATATATACTCTCACCATATAAATTGAGAAACCGAGACATGTTCTAACATTTTTAGGTAAAAAAGTCTGGTTAAAGCTTATTCAAATAAAAACATATTATTTTTATTTAACCCTATGAAATAGTCATATGCTATTCTAAAATTTTTTAGAAGGTCAAATATAACAAATTAACATTGTTTTTATTGCAGAATAAGAGTTTATTCTTAAAATTTGATTTTTTTTAAAAAATTCTATTCACTATTTTTCTTATATGAGTTTCTTTCTATGCCTATCAGTGATTCTGTCTTACCTCTTAGCGGCGCATCATTAACCATTGATAGTAAAATAAAGAAACAGGCCTTTCTACATATATTTCTCATAAATAAAGTTTTTGAAAAACATAAAATTGATAAATATGTGTGAATCGAAAGGTTTCATAATTAAATCTCTTTTTCATTACTCTTTTTATTTAAATACGATCATTTTATAAAATGAAATAATAATGTAAAAAAAACACGACCAAAAAAATATGAACATTGAAAAGAATCAATTGTGTTAGTTCTTTGGAAAATTCCGTTTTATTTTGCATTTTATATGACATTTTAAAATTGGAATTTGCTACATATCGCTAACCTTGATAAGAGACAAAGTACTTATCAAAATAACAATAAAATAATATCATAAACAACAGGTGTATTATATATCTAAAATTATTTGTTTATGCTTATAGTATTTTTTGTGAGTGCTTGATTTCGCTCCGACATGTGCTTCTAATCTTTTTCTTATGTGTGTTTTATTTATTCTCTATGAAATTTTTATTTTTGACATTTTTTTAAAAATCTTTTAATAAGTATATTTCAACTCTAGAAATCTTGACTTGCAATATTATCATGCAAGGGTCTTAAGTGCACCGGAAAAGGTAATAGTGGCGTTTGAAGTTTTTATCAATGGAT